AAGAAGACAAACAGGCTAGAGGCGAATGGATGGCGAAATGAGGCGAACGGTTGCATTCGAGGTGTATGTATAAGCAGGAAAGGAGACGACTGTTCGTCGATTGTCGGAACCAGGTCTTTATTCATTTCAGCTTTCTAACTTGTACAGGAGTCCATCGTCAGGAATGAAGTCGACAAAAAGGTTTCCTTCGCCTTTGCCGGAGAAGCATGTGAGCGGAGCAAAGGGACTGCAAAGGGCTTTCTGATCTCCGGTCTAGTGGCAGAACCGGTCGTCCAAGATCTGTAACAGTCCCTTCACACAGTAGATGTCGTTACGTGGACTACAGGTGTTTTATCGGCGTGGGGAACATAATTTTTTACATTCGATTTTCTTAGATATGCAATTAACGAGGGAAAAAAGAGAAAAAGCAGCAGCAGCAGCAGTAGGAACCCTTCCTTAATGTACGCTTAGGACGAAGTTCAGAATTAAAATAGAAAAAAAAACAGCCAAGAGGAAGGTGACTAATACCACATGGTTTCTAAATTTTTACAGCAACTATTTGTTGGCTCACAAACGAAGTTGTGTGAGAACACCATTCAAAACAACCCAGGTTTATTGCAGAACACGGAAGGGAAATTGTGTAAGGCTCGATAGCCCCACACCAAATTTATGCGAAACGGTTGACGGCGCTCATAAACTTATGCCCAGGTGTTAGCACTTGGATGACCCAACCAAAAAAGCACGTATGGCATGGCATGCTCTGCCATATATCAAGGTGCCAGAGGCAACCGAGCGAATTACTGCGAAACTAGGTGTAGGGGTTACACACCGGCCCAGAGCTACCATGCGCAGCAGGGTTATCAAAAATCAAGGACAGATTGAGGTCTTGCGACCAGTCGAATTTAGTGTATCGCATCTATCTTGTGCTTAAAATGTCCTTGTAACTACACAGGTCAGAGTTAAGGCCCGCTCGGATCGCGAACCCACGACGATAAACTGGCTGTGTGACGGTGAGGGATTGTCACAAGTGGCTGCCCACACCTACGAAACTAGCTTCACAGCCTCAAATGAAGCTGACTACGCCAGAAACAAGACAAACCACGAATCGATTGAAACCGGGGCTCCTGATGCGAACTCAGTCAATC